GGTCCATAGCGGGGACATAAAATTTTTTTTAAGGAATATTATCCAGACTTTCCAAAGAGAATCCAAAAGATTTTGTAATGATTTTTGAAATAAAATCCTAATAGTTTTCAAAGAAAATCCTGAATTTCTAATAAGAAAATAAAATATTTTGTTTTTTACAAAATCAAAGTTTTCCTCATACGTATGATTAATATGTAATTATTTATTTCATTATGATATTACTCATACGACTTCTAAAGGAAATTCTAAAAATTTTCTAAAAAAAATATAGAAAATATTCTAAAGACAATCCTAAAGATTTTCTAAAGAAAGATGTTCCAAAGAAATTCATTAAGAATTTCTAATGTAAATCCTGAAGATTTTCTAAGGGAAATTCGGAAGATTTCCTAATGAAAATCCTGAAGATTATCTAAAGAAAATCCTGAAAATTTTTGAAAGGAAGTCCAGAAGATTTTCTAAAGAAAATCCTGAAGAATTTCTAAGGGAAATCCTAAAGACTTTCTAAGGGAAATTCTGAAGATTTTTTAAAGAAAATGCTGAAGATTTTCTACAGAAAATCCTAAAGATTTTCTACTGAAAATACTAAAGATTTTCTACTGAAAAGAAAATGCTGAAGATTTTCTAAAGAAAATGCTGAAGATTTTCTAAAGAAATCCTGAAGATTTTCTAAAGAAAATGCTGAAGATTTTCTAAAGAAAATGATGAAGATTTTCTAAAGAAAATGCTGTAGATTTTCTAAAGAAAATGCTGTAGATTTTCTAAAGAAAATGCTGTAGATTTTCTAAAGAAAATGCTGAAGATTTTCTAAAGAAAATGATGAAGATTTTCTAAAGAAAATGCTGTAGATTTTCTAAAGAAAATGCTGTAGATTTTCTAAAGAAAACGATAAAGATTTTCTAAAGAAAATGCTAAAGATTTTCTAAAGAAAATGCTAAAGATTTTCTAAAGAAAATGCTAAAGATTTTCTAAAGAAAATGCTAAAGATTTTCTAAAGAAAATGCTAAAGATTTTCTAAAGAAAATGCTAAAGATTTTCTAAAGAAAATGCTAAAGATTTTCTAAAGAAAATGCTAAAGATTTTCTAAAGAAAATGCTAAAGATTTTCTAAAGAAAATGCTAAAGATTTTCTAAAGAAAATGCTAAAGATTTTCTAAAGAAAATGCTAAAGATTTTCTAAAGAAAATGCTAAAGATTTTCTAAAGAAAATGCTAAAGATTTTCTAAAGAAAATGCTAAAGATTTTCTAAGGAAAATCCTAAAGATTTTCTAAAGAAAATCCTAAAGATTTTCTAAAGAAAATCCTAAAGATTTTCTAAGGAAAATCCTAAAGATTTTCAAAAGAAAATTCTAAAAATTTTCTAAGGGAAATCCTTAAGATTTTCTAACGAAAAATAAAGAAGATCCTGAATATTTTCTAAGGGAAAGCCTAATGACTTTCTTGGGAAAATCGTGAAGATTTTCTAAAGGATATCATGAAGATTTTCTAAAAGAAATCTTGGAGATTTTCTTATTGATATCCTGAAGATTTTCTAAAGAAAATCCCGAAATTTTTCTAAAAGAAGTCCTGAAGACTTTCTCAATAAAATCTTTCTATAAGAAATCTTACAAATTTTCTAAAGATAATCATAAAGATTTTCGAAAGAAAACACTGAAATAGAAGATTTCGGAACGAAAGCACTGATGATTCTGTAAAGAAAATAAAATTATTAAATTTTTGGAAACATAATAATCAAGATTTTCTTTATACGTATGAGTGATATGTAATTATTAATTTCATTACGTAACATTACTCATACGCCAAATTATTATACTTTAAATATTTGTTTTAAGATAATTAAACTCTCAAAACCCCCCTCTTAATTGTACTCATAATTAGTAAAATTTTATTTTGTGCAAAATACTGTTTAATATCCCTAGAGAAATTTTATAAATTCTTTTATTATCGAATTCTTAGTGTTTATTATCTTTTTCTGAAATTTATTGAAACTTAAAAAAGAAACTAAAACAATAAATACATTATCCCTCTTAATTTGGAATAATAACAAAAAACACTAAATCAAATTTCTAAATGTTCTCCAAGGATTAATAAATATAATTCATAAACTTATGAGTCTATGAGTGTGTTAAACATCTAAATTATGAAACAAAAAGAAAAACTTCTAATGCTGGACCATTTTGAAATCAATAAATGGCAAAATATAACTACAGCTACTAAATAAACTTAAAACATGTTTTATAACTATAACTACAGAAAGTTTTTTTTTCTAAAAACTAAGTATTGCAACTGGAGAGTCGTAAATGTAAAAGGTTGTAATCTCAATTGGTCAATTTATGTGTGAAAGTATAGGGTAATAGACGGGCCCTTTGCTTTGGGTCATTTAAAACTAAGACTAGTTTCAAATGACTTTAATGTTGGCTCCAAATAGTCATCAAGGACTTGTACAGGAAACCTTAATTAGAACTAAATATTCTTACTCAATTTACTAAGTAGTGTCTGTTACACTGAAACTGTCAAGAATCAAAAAATTTATTTACAACTCCCATTATTTAGCGCCAGCCTAATGCACTTGTGTTTGTTAAGGTTTATTTATGACATATTTATTTTATTACTCGAGCATAGTGCGTATGTCGTATTAGAAGATATGAAATAGAATTATGGATACAAGAAAAACGAAAATATTTTTAAAATTTATGTTATTCCCCCCAGGAAAGTTCGATAGCCTTTAAACATTTTACTTAAAATAAAGTGTTGTTTTTAAATTAGTATTTACATTCAAGGGGACAATTTAAAACAGACAGTGTTTATAAGGCAGTTGAATAATAAGAATAATATTTTTAATAATTTAAATACCTTAGTTTTTTAATGCCGATAATTTGTTTCTCGTTATTATATGTATACGAGATGATAAGTTGCCGGAATGATCTTCTAATGCTTTATAGGTAATTAATTTCACTATTCCAGGACCAGTCCTATACGTGATTGGCTTTATTCCTTGTAGCTAATGGACCACTTCTTTGTAGGAATACATAACTATAAAAGCTTGTGTGTTAATACAGTATAGATGAAAAATTAAAAATAATTTTGTGGACCAAAAGTACTATAAAACAATTTTAAAATTACTTTTCTTCGTAATTAACTGAAAATTGCGGAATTTTGAAATCCATAGTATCGTAGCTAATCGCAGCCAAAACACATGTTCCTACTAAAGAACTGTGTTGTAAACATTACCCTCTAGTTTATCGAATCCAAAACATTTGTTCCTACTCAAGAACTGCATAATAAACATCACTCCGAAGCCTATATATAGGCTTATCTTATGATCAGATATAATGTAAAGACAAGCGCTGCTTCTTACCGCATTGTGATGTCAAAGGAAAACACACCTTTCAGCTTTTGTGTTATTGTCTGGTCTGTTAGTCAGTTAGTTAGTTAGTTAGTTTGTTAGTTAGAGTTAGTCAGTTAGTTAGTTAGTTATGTGTTAGTAGTTAGTTAGTTAGTTAGTTATTAGTTAGTTAGTTAGTTAGTTTAGCTAGTTAGTTAGTTAGTAGTTAGTTAGTTAGTTAGTTAGGTTTAGTTAGTTAGTTAGTTAGTTTAGTTAGTTAGTTAGTTAGTTAGTTGTTAGTTTATTTAGTTAGTTAGTTTAGTTAGTTAGTTATTTAGTTAGTTAAGTTATTAGTTTAGTTATTAGTTTAGTGTTAGTTCGTTAGTTAGTTAGTTAGTAGTTAGTTCGTGCTATTAGTTAGTTACGTTAGGTAGTTACGTGTTCGTTAGTTCGTTTTAGTTGTCGTTCGTTCGTTCGTTCGTTAGTCGTTCGTTCGTTCTTCGTTGTTCGTTCGTTCGTTCGTTCGTTCGTTCGTTCGTTCGTTCGTTCGTTCGTTCGTTCGTTCGTTCGTTCGTTCGTTCGTTCGTTCGTTCGTTCGTTCGTTCGTTCGTTCGTTCGTTCGTTCGTTCGTTTTCGTTCGTTCGTTCGTTTCGTTCGTTCGTTCGTTTCGTTCGTTCGTTTTTCGTTCGTTTCGTTCGTTCGTTCGTTCGTTCGTTCGTTCGTTCGTTGTTCTCGTTCGTTCGTTCGTTCGTTCGTTCGTTCGTTTTTTTTTCGTTCGTTCGTTCGTTTTCGTTCGTTCGTTCGTTCGTTCGTTCGTTCGTTCGTTCGTTCGTTCGTTCGTTCGTTCGTTCGTTCGTTCGTTCGTTCGTTCGTTCTTTCGTTCGTTCGTTCGTTCGTTTCGTTCGTTCGTTCGTTCGTTCGTTCGTTCGTTCGTTCGTTCGTTCGTTCGTTTTCGTTCGTTCGTTCGTTCGTTTCGTTCGTTCGTTCGTTCGTTCGTTCGTTCGTTCGTTCTTTCGTTTCGTTCGTTCGTTCGTTCGTTCGTTCGTTCGTTCTCGTTCGTTCGTTCGTTCGTTCGTTCGTTCGTTCGTTTTGTTCGTTCGTTCGTTCGTTCGTTCGTTGTTCGTTCGTTCGTTCGTTCGTTCGTTCGTTCGTTCGTTCGTTTCGTTTCGTTCGTTCGTTTCGTTCGTTCGTTCGTTCGTTCGTTCTTCGTTCGTTCGTTCGTTTCGTTCGTTCGTTGTTCGTTCGTTCGTTCGTTTCGTTCGTTCGTTCGTTCGTTCGTTCGTTCCTTCCTCTTCCGTTCCTCTTTCCTGCTCTTTCCCTCCTTCCTTCCTCTTCCCCCCTGTTCCTTTCCCCCTGGTTTTTGCCTTCGTTTTCCTGCCTTGTCTCCCCCCTTTTGTTGCCCCCCCCCTCCCCCGTCTTCTTTTTTCTCCCCCTTTCCCCCCCTCCCCCCTTTCCTTTATCTTACAAAAATAAACTACAATTATGTTGTCTCTTAATCTGTTGCACTTATCGAATAACACGGGACAAAAACAACTAAGGAAAGTAAATATTTTCAACACACTTAGCAGATGTTTTCGTTCTCAGGGAGTGAGACAAATAAGACTTAAAAACAAATAAAAAGAAATATTTAATAAAGATTAAATTTTTAATACAAAAACACTTTTAATTTTTAATTACAGATCTTTTCCGTCGCTTTAGTGCACGCTTATTCCCAGCCGGTTTGTTTAGTAGAGCTGGTGCTGACAGTGATGAAGATGATTCCAGTGAAATTGGTTTCCCCACCATCGATCCCAAAAAGGCCAATAGCACTTCGACAGTAAAGGTAGGTTATATATAAGTAGTGAACAACATGTAGAAAAAAAAAAATAAAACTTTCAATTAACTAGGTGGTCGATGGTCATAAAGTGGAGGTTAACGAAACCGTTTATGGTGATGAAAACAGTGTCTTCAAGGTACGTGTGGTTAACATACGC